TGAGACAGAAAGCAGATTAGCGGTTTCCAGGGGCTGGGAGGAGGGTGGAATGGGCAGGGATTGCTGAACGAGGATGGGGTTCCATACGGGGTGATGACAACATTCTGTGACGGTTACAGAACATCTTGAATGTACTAGGTGCCACTGAACTCTACAACTCACAGTGGTTAAAATGATACATGTCATGTTATGTGTATTATGTCACACACACAAAAGAAAAGGAAAGACATTTGAATGGCGGGGTGGGGGAGGGGTGTCCGGAGAGCAGAAGGAACTGTCCACACCGCTGGTGCTGACCAGTTCCGTCTGTTCCACTATTTCTGTTGTGGGAATGAGACTCGCCGGGAGGATCTTCACTTTCTCGTGGGATTCTGGTTCCCGTCTGCTTGTGCAGAGTGGAGGCGGGTCTGGTTCAACTAAATCTAAAACCCTTGACCTAGTCGGTCCCTGAAACAACTCGTTCCCTTCTCATTGATGATCAAACACCACAACTGGGTCTGCTTCTCAAGTGTCTTTCTTGAGAGCAGAGCCCCAAAGAGCTGTGATCAGTGCTCAGCAGATGTCCAAGGTGCTGCCAGGATGCAATGGGGGGACTGACCTCAGCCTCGGGGTTCAGAGAGGTTTTGGGGACGGTGACATTTAAACTGAAAGGCAGAGAGCGAATTGAATGCACGTGAAGAGAGTGTGGAGAGAGTCAGTAAGAACCATGATGCATAAACTCTGGAACATGTGTACGTGGGAGGAGCATAGACCCTGCAGTTGAGTCACAGAAAGTGGGGGGAGGGTGGGGCCTGCGGCTGGGGGACATGGGGATTGAGCCATGGGACACACTTCAGGTTGTAATAAGGACTTGCCCTAAGCCGAGGGTGGTGGGGAGCCATGAAGGGCGTACGGACAGTTGACATCCATCCCCCACTCAGGGCCTCCCTGTCTGCAGAGGCTGCACAGCTTCAGACGGCCGTTCCCAGAAGGCCTTGCGGCTGGGGTGCCGGATGCCTTTGAAGCTCGGAGCTGCACAGCCATGGAGTCACCAGGTGTTTCCCCAGCAGCAGCCACAAGTCCAGGCCTCGAGGTGCCAGGAGGCTGCTGGGGCTGCAGAGGTGATGCTGGATCCCTGAGTGCCACCAGCCGTGCTGTTCTGGGCCTCGTTCCTGGAGACACAGCCCAGAGCCTGCTCCTGCAGCTCCCCTATGGCAAGTAGGCTCTTAACTCACTTTTCCACTTGAAGGATCCAATCAGAGCTGGGATCAGGCCAGACCGTCCATGCTTTGGTCACCAGAGTCCCTTTGCAGGGAAGTGGGGTCAGTTCCTGAAATCCTGGTGATGTGATTGGAGCACAAGAGTGACACAGCCTCCTCCTGAGCCAGCAGAGCACAACCTTCTGGCTCTGGGGAGCCCCAGCCCCACCTCCTGCCTGCCTGACATTCTCTCTGTACACCTGAAATTCCACTGCATTCCCACCTGTCCCCTGGGAGGGGCTCCTTGAGGCCAGAGGGAAATAACACCCAGATGCTAAGAGGGATATTCAGACAATTCATTCCTGGGGAAAAGGAGAAAGCTGTGGGGAACCCAGCAAGAGCAGGAAATGCCAGCATCCTCCTGGGTTTCATGCCCAGGAGCCCAGCTCTGGCAGTCCCACCAGGAGCTGTGGGAACATCAAGCTGGGTCATGTCCAGAGGACTCTGAGAGCAGAGTCTGCCCATCCTTTTTGGGGGGCTGGGCCAGGGGGGTTGGAGGCCTCTGGACTGGGACTCAGGCGTCCTGGGCTCTGTTCCAGCCTGTGTCTCGGACCTGCAGTAAGACCTTGGCTCAGTGTCTTGCTTGGATCCCGGGAACAGGATGAGCGAATGAAACAAATGTCTGTTTGGGGTCTTACACCTACTGCCAAAGGAGCCAGAACCTTCTCTAGCCATAAGTAGAGGCAGAGTCCCAACACCTGATGATGGCTTCAACCAGGACAGGCCGGGTTGCCTCACAGATCCAGGCTCTCACGCAGATGACAGAGCCATCCCCAGACAGTGAGGTCCCACGGTGGACACAAAAGGATGGGGGTCACTGAGGGAGCTGGTGGTGGGATGGGACCGGACTGTGTCAAAGGCTTTTTGACACCTTTAGAACGGACAGAAGCAGGATGCAAACCCAGGGCTGTCTGACCCCAGTCCCTCAATGCTGATGAGTTAGTGTCTCTGAGTGTCCACACATCTCAGGACTGGCCACTGCCCTCCCACCAGCACAGCCTCTGACCCCCTGCCCCATCCTGATCTCCCCCCTCCTTCCTGTCCTTGGTCCCTCAGCTGCCTTGAGAGATGAGGCTCCAGGCCCAGGAGTGTGGGCTGGACTCGCCCCTCCTAAGAGACAAACCCCCAACCCCGTCCCTGGGGAAAGTGCTTTCTCCCTCCTGCTGGCTGGCGTCCAGGCCTCTACCACACCCCTGATTTTGGCAGAGGCACCTGGTCTGTGTCTTGACCTGCCTGGAGCCATCCCAGAAAGTGAATGGAATCCAGGTCATGAGAGATGAGCCCTGAAGTGGAAAACATGATGAGGCAGCTAAGTCTGTAGCAGTCGGCGCAGGAGGGACGCAGCCCTGGCCTCAGCCCCCTCTGTTCATGAGTTCACTGAGCAATAAGTAAGTATCACCTCATCACAGGGCCTCCAACCTTCTTGAAAGAAGGTTTCAGTAAGCAACATTTGACAAGAGTCTGTGCAGCACACACTCACCCGTTTCCTAGTCTGTTTTTTTCATTTAAAGGAATAACATAGTTTACGACCCACTCAAGTGTTTATCAAACCTGTAAAATGTTGTAATCCACAGTTGGGAAAACACTGCTTTGCTCTGCAGCTGCCAGAGAAGAGAGGCCGGGACGCAGAGGGACACGTGAAGCTGAGGGACGTGCTGTGCCCCTGCCCCAGGGGAGAAGAGGACGTTTAGGACTCTGGTCTTTGCACAAATATCTCTGCTCTGGCAGGATGCCCCGTGGTCTCCTGCTCCAGTCTCTGCCCTCCTGTTCGCCCTCCTCACGGCATACAGATCCAGGGACGTTCACAGACGTAACCGGAACTCCTCTCCCCGGTCAGGACCAGCCGTGGTGCCCGGTGCTCTCAGGATAAGGTCCCGAGTCCTCCCCGAGGCTCACAAGGGACCCACCTGCCACCCCTCCACCCCCTCCATCTGCCCTGCCCTCCACTCTCTCTGGGCTCAGCCTCACTGAGACAGTCACAGTTCTGGCTCATCCTTGAAACCTTAGCTCAGACATCCCCTCCTCCAGGAAGCTCTCCTTCAACTCCCAAGATGAGTGACGATGCCCCTCAGGCTCCCACAGCTCCTGGGGTTCCCCAACCCCAATCTGACCTCTCTGAGGCTTGATGGTCTGTGGACACTGTGTGGCCCCCCACGATGGGACAGGAACTGCTGCTGAGTCATCGCTGTGTCCTCAGTGTCATCCAGCACGTGGCACACAGCTCACCCTCAGCCATGATTTACTGCCAAGCCCTTCACTGCATCATCTCTGCTGGACCAAAAGACAATGGGTCAGCTGGACCTCGTTGTCCCCATTTCACCAGGAAGGACACCGAGGATCACAGAGGCAAGGTTATCTCCCCACGTGCATCCTGGGAAACTCGGCGTTTGGGCACCAGTGCCAACCCCCACACCATCACCAGAGCTGGGCTGTGACGACACCTCTGCCCCCAGCAGGAAACACCAGAGCCGGCACCGAGGACACCAGCCCCTGCGGGAGCTGACCTGGATGTTTCTCTGAACCCTCCACTTCTGCTGGGTCTGGGCACGGATGCGGTTCCCGCTTCACAGGGAAGGACACGCTGCGTTCCTCTTTCACTGGGGCCTCGCCCTGGTTTCTGTCTGGAATGGGTGCATTTCACAGAGGAGCTGAGTCTGCGCCTGGTGTGAGGTGGAGGGGAGCTGGGGGGAGTGTTGACAGCCCCTCAGGGAAGCAGAGACGCAGAAGGAGGCACTTTCCAAACAGAGGGAGGGGGTAGAGGGACACGCTGCCTACATGAGGGACAGGTCACCCTTCCCAGGCCCTGGAGAGAACCTTGTCCATGTCGGGGTGATCTGTGCGCCCCCAGACATGGACTCCTGCAAGGGCTGGGGGAGGGGCCTCCCAGTCCTCAGTGCACGGGGTGACCGGGACCCGCAGACCTGACCCCACAGTGTCCCTCAGGGAGGGGCAGCCCTCCCCTCCTGTCCTCACAGGCCGACCCCAAGATGGCTCTTCTCGGGGACATTCCACCCGTCTCCCTCTGAACATGCGCGTTAGGGGGTAAAGCCTTTGAGGGCATCCTCAGGTGGTGGAATTTCTCCCACAGAGCGTCACAGGCGAGTAATGTTGACAATGACATTGACCCAACAACCAAACTAAAACTGACTGTCTTACCATTCTCTCTCTCTCTCTTTTTCTCTCGTGAGCTCAGTGAAAACTGTGACTCTGGAATGCCCTGCTCACCGCTCCCTCCCCCGTGTCTGACACAAGCCTGGGGCACAGGAGGTGCTAAGGGGACAGGTGCTCCTGGAGAGACCATCATTGGAGAAGACCCAGAGGGCAGGTGGGAAGAGAGGCCTGGGGGCCGTGAGCCTTGGGGGCCACCAGGGCCTTTTCCATGTTCATCCCACGAGCCGCTCAGCGTCCTCCCCACACATTTCCCTTTCCCCGCCCTTGTTCAGCCTGGAATTTTCAAGTGTGTACAAACTGGTCTCGTTCACCTGAGTGCCTTGACTGCTGTTTAGTGAGCCCTGGGCAGGGGGTGTGAGGTCAGGGAGCTGACAGGCCCCCTGGAGGGACGGAAGATGTTAGTGTTCACGGAGAGTGAGGACCAGGCCATCGTGCTGGGCCTGGGAGGGAGGCATTTGGGGAGAGGATGCTGGCGGGGCAGCTGCTCCTGCCAAGGGCCCAGCGTGTCTCTGCAGGCCAGCCAGGGCTTCCAATGACATCACCAGCTTTTCCATAGGAATAAAAGCACCTGCTCTGATCACTGATCTCCCCTCTGCTCCACTGCAGCCAGCCCACAGCCATGGCTCCCCGAGGTCGCATCCTGGGTAAGGAGGACCCCACCCAACTCCCACCAAGCCCATCTCCCATCTCCACCACCGCCCCATCCTTACCTCCACCCAATTTCCCCCCCTGAGCCCCAGGCCCTACAGATGACCCCATCAGAGGGGTGTCCCTTCCACATCCCCACCATCGGCCCTTCCACATCCCTGATTCAGTTTCCAGAGTCTCGCCCAATGCCGTACGCATCCTGGGTTCCCACTCCACCAACGCCGGTGTCAGCTCCGCCCCTTTATGGCCTGACTGTATCTGAGCCTCCTGCTCTGAACACCTCCCACCCAGGACATACTCACATTCTCCAGGACCCCAAACTGAGTTCTTCCAGGACTCCTGCCTGCGTCCGCTCAGCTTCCCCAGGCCCACAAGCCCAGGACACCTGAACACGGTGACCGGGTCCCACGCTGGACTGCTCCTAACCTTCCCCTGCGCCTCACACAGGGCAGACACCCCCTCAGACCCTCCCCTGCCCCAGCCTGGGCTCCCCGAGGTGGACCCGTGGCTGCCCCGTCAGCCCCACCTCGTCCCTCTGCTCTCCCTCAGCTGTCTTGGCCGCTGTCTGCATCCTCACGCTCCTCTGCTCACACGGAGCCCCAGGTGAGCCCAGGACAGACACTCAGGGCTGCGGTGCGGCTCCCAGAGGGCCCCAGACTGGCACCCCTGCCCTGCTGCCTGGGCCACACCAGCTCTGTGTCTTCCAGTGTCCCCCATGGGCGCCCACCTGATGCTGTGCCAGCCGCACCTGACCTGTGGGGACAAGTTCTATGACCCTCTGCAGCACTGTTGCTATGACGACGCTGTGGTGCCCTTGGGCAGGACCCAAAAGTGTGGCAACTGCACCTTCAGGGTCTGCTTCGAGCAGTGCTGCTTCTGGTCACTCAGACCCCTGGAGTCCTTCATGGTGAAGGTGAAAGGCCAGAGTTGCTCCTTGGCCCTGTCCCCGGATGACAGGCTTTGTCGCAGGTGAGGTCCCTCCCCTCCCGGGGATCAGGGGCTGCAGGGGGCTCTGGATGCCTGTTCTGTCCCTGATGCAGCCCCCCTGGCCCTGTCCACCTGCTCCAATCAATCCACCTCTCCCTTTTCCTCTCTCCTATTGTCTTTATTTCTCTCAGCCTCTTTGCTGTCCCTCTTGTGTCTCTCTGTTCCACTCCTCTGCCCAGGTTCCATCCGTCCCTCCATCTCTGTCCATCTGTCTCTTGCTCACTCTCTCTCTCTGTCTCTCTCTTCAGTGTCGGCTGACAGAGGACCAGATGACCGGGTGACCGCTGGATTCTGCTTCCTGAATGAGCCTGGGGAGACGGGCCTGGTGTAGACTAAGATCTGGGACGCGGAGGGGTTCTCTCGGGACTTGAGACGCTCGGACTCAGTGCTGTCTTCTCGTTCTTTCTCCTCTTTAACGCTCAGCCTGAATCCGTCCTAAGCAGGGGGACTGGTATCCTCTAGGATCCATGATTAATAAAGCTTGTTCCTCACATTTCCCTGATGGTGTGGCTGACGTGCGTCCTGCGATCATAATAGAGCCACAAGGGCCGGTCCAGCCACAGCGTTGGCCCCGTTGGGGAAGCATCTGTGGGACTCTCCATGGTTTTGTCGGCCCAGGAGAGCGTCTCAGGCTTCCTGCCCTGCAGCATCGCTATCGATAGGCTGAGACCCACACAACACCGTGCATCAGTTGGAAGACGTTTGGGTGGTTTCCAATTTGGGGACTGTTTTCGGCTCTTCTTTCTCGTGCAGTCTGCACTCCTGCAGTCTAGTCATGGTCGTCCTGGTTTGCTGATGCCCAGGCTGTTGAGCGACTGTAGATCCCACTGGGGGTGTGGCTTTTGACCATCAGCCCTCGTCTCCATTTCTCTGGCTCTGTATCTGGTGTGTCTACAGCACTCCATGCCCTCCGCTCCCCAGGCTCCCCCCCCTCCACCAGCTCCTCCCTTTCTGAGGGGACAAGGACCACACTGCTCCTGCCAGTCCTTTTCCAGCCAGGTGCAATTTTTATGAGTATAACTCCCTGAATTTTCTCTCTTTTAAAATTATCAGGGACCTGCCGACAATCTGCATTGGCAGTATACTCTTTCATAAACTGTAATATGCCCTTGGATTGTAAGGGAAATGTGCCGGAAGTCCAGACATGGAACTTAGGGTGGTAAGTCCCAAACTTGTGAAATCTCCAAGGTCATCATCTGCCTGTGTTTGCCTGCACCACTCTTGCCTCCTAGATGTATTTTCTTAGGTTCTTCTGGGAGAAGGCGTTGGAATCTCTCTTTGCACAGACCCGGGGCTGAGTTCAGTTTACAGAGAGAGTGGAGTTCATCTGAACTTGTGCATAATGTGGCCCCTTCCATGACATGTGCCCAAAGGCACAACACACAGTCACCCCAGCGTCCCCGTGTTGTGCACCCCCCCCCCCCATCTAGTATCTGTTGGTGGTTGCCCTGTCCCTATGGGAAGGTAGGATGACTCATGGACTTGGGTATTGCTGTATGTTTTTGCTGGTAGATTCCAGTTTTTTTAATTGAAAATTTTAAATTTTCCCAGTTCAGCAGTATTGTTCTGGGGCATGTCTGGAGTCCCAGCATGGAGCACGTCCAGCCCTGCAAGAGAACTTGCCAGTTCCTCCTCCTAACATGCAAAGAAGGGATCTGGCATGCCCATCCTCGTAGTGGTCACCTAACGCCCTGTTGCGGGTGGCAGAGATCAGGCCTGCAACCTGAAGCATGACTGGGACCCTCCCCAGGCAGCGTGCGCAGGCAGGCCCCCTGGCTCTGGGAGTCCCAGCCCGTCCTGAGTGATGACATCCTACATATCTGACTCTTTTCCTATTCGGCTGATACTCCACCCTGATACTCCATTGCATTCCTGCTTCTTTCCTGGGAGGGCCTTCAGAGACCTCATGCTGCCAGGAGGGACATTCAGCCTGGGACAAAAGAGGGAGCCAGTGCGGAAGCCGGTGACAGGAGGAAACATCAATTTCCTTCTCTGTTTCACACTCTGGAAGCATAGATCTGCTTGCATCATGCAGAGGCTGTGGGAACGTAGTGCCTGGGGCCTCTCCAGGAATGTCTGCGGTCAGGGCATTCCTGCCCCTTCTGGGGTGGGGGAGGGGCTGGCCAGGTGCTGATGGAGAACGGGCTGGGACTAAGGGAGCCAGTCCAGACCATGTCTATGACCTGCAGTGGGGCCTTCTGTCCGGGTCTTCCTTGGACCCTGGAATGTAGGGGGGGGAATAGGCCCAGCAGGGGTTGGAGATACTCTGATTTCCTGTGAGCCCCTGAGCATCCTATGTGGGGGAAGAGACAAGTGGGCACGTAGTGGTGGCCATGGCAGCCCTGATCCTTGTCCTCGTAGAGCTCTGGAACCAGTACGGATGGCCAACTTGTCCCTGGATGGTGACATCAGAATGGACAGGGCTGGGATGGGGAACAAAGAGGCAGCTGGTTGTGGGAATTTTCATTTGGGGGTCTAGCATCTCCTGTTGGAGGCTGGGCAGCCCTTACTTGGGATTTATATTGATGTGCGATGGACGACACTCAGGCACCACCATGTATGAAACAAAGTTGATCACGCATGCAGGAAACAGCAACAGGACTCCCCAAGGAGCAGGGCTCCTGATCCGTCTGGAGGGAGGTCCAAGTGCAGTGAGGTGGGCGGCCTTTGGGCTAGGACTCTCGGGGTCAGAGCGAAGTTCCTGGGTGTGGGATGGGTTCACATGGTTGGAACCTCCTCCTGGTGTCCAGGGAGGAAGCGTGTCGGCTCTCTTATAGGTCTGCCCAGGTGGGATAGAAATGGGAGGTCAGGGGCTGAAGCCGTCAGGGTCTACTGTCAAAAAGAGTCTTGTCTTTATTACATGGAGATGGAAAATACTACCTGCAAATGGCTTCTGGGAGCCTCGAGGAAGGTGCAGGAAAAGGATCCAGACTCAGGACTGTCTGATTCCAAAGCCTCATAGCTATCAGCTTAGTGGCTCTCAGTGTCCACGGAGCCTGGCCCGGCCCCCGCTGCCCTCCCACCAGCACAGCCTCCAAGACCCCCTACCCCACCCTGCCCTGTCCTGCTCTCCCTCCTCTTTCCTGCCCCAGGGCCTTGCTTAACTGCCCTGAGAGACCAGGCTCCAGGCTCCAGCTGGGCTCCCCCCTCCTCAGAGACACCAACCCCAACCCTGCCCTGGGGAACGCGCTTCCCTCTTTGCACCCTGACCTTACCACCCTTTTTGACAGAGACAACCAGATCTGGGGCCCAGCCCACCCGCAGCCTCCCCAGGAAATGCCTGGGACTGAGGTTCTAAGAGCTGAACTATTCTCTTGGGAAGACTGGAGTGTACATCAGTGGCTCTTAGTAAATGCGCCAGTGAGCCCTGGGGCAAAGCCTTCTCCATCCCCGAGGTCACTAACCACGTGGCTGTGACTCACTGGGAAACAACCAAAGTGGCCGTTTGTTAGCACTAAGTGTGGGGTGGATTGCTATGCAGCAGGAGGTAACGAGACACCATCGAGGTGTCATTATTGACGTCTCTTCAGTCCACTGCTCTTTCCCCAGGTTAGACCCAGTGTCTGGCATACACCAGGGGCTCCACTGCGGTCACTGTCAACATGGCTTCCGACCGTGACAGTGCCCTCAGGCCTGACAATTGTGGGAGGATCTTGTCTCCGGTCAAGTTTTCGGGTGGTGGTCTTCCTGAGTCCCGAGCTGCCTGTCACCCTCCATCCTCTCGAGGGAGTGGACACATTTATCACACACGTTTAGGGAGCGATTATGTACTAAGTGCCATTCACTTTGAATTCTTTAATTCTCACATTAGTCCTGTGAGGTGGGGACCACGCAATCCCTGATTTATAGAGGAGGAAACTGGGGCACAAGGAAGTCACTCACTCTTCTGGGATCCAGACCAGAGGCCTCTCTGCAGAGTCTGCTCTTCCCCAGGACCCTGCCCAGTGTGTGTGTGTGTAGGGGGGGCTCCCACACGTCTCTAGGGCGCTGGCAGACTCCGTGTCCTGTGGTATTTTGGCAAGTCTCAAGCTGGCCCCATTCTGCATGAGACACTGTCGCCTCCCCCAGCCCGCAGTGCTGGACCCAGCGTCCTGTCCCCACTCCTGTTCATGGTTCCCCTTTCTCTTTTCCACTTTCCCTTTTGTGTTAGTTTTCTAGGGCAGCCATAACAAAATACCACAGGCTGGGCGGCCCACACAACAGAAATCTATTTCCTTACAGTTCTGGAGGCTGGAAGTCTAAGATAAGGTGCTAACAGGGCTGGTTTTTCCTAAAGCTTCTCTCCTTGGCAGTCTATTTGTTTGAATCAAAATCCAAATTGGGTCCAAACAGGGCGGTGGGGGAATTGGATGAAGGTGGCCAAAAGGTACACACTTCCAGTTATGACAGATTAGTCCTGGGGCTGTAACACGCAACAGGATGACCATAGTGAACATGCTGATGGCCTGTTTGAAGGTTGCTAAGAGAAGAAGTGGATCCTAAGAGTTCTCGTCACGAGGAAAAAAAATTTTTTTCTTTTTTTGATATCTATATGAGACGGATGTTAACTAAGCTTATTGTGGTAATCATTTCAAAATATATGTAAGTCAAATCATTATGCTGTACATCATAAACTTACACAGTGCTGTATGTCAATTATACCTCAATAAAAGCAAAAAAGGTAAAAAGAAAAAAACAAAAAACCCGAATTAGGTCCAGACATTGCAATTGGTTGATACGTCTCTTAAATACCTTTTAGTCTATCTGATACCAACTCTTGCTTTTTTTTTGAGGAAGATTAACCCTGAGCTAACTACTGGCAATCCTCCTCTTTTTGCTGAGGAAGACTGGCCCTGAGCTAACATCCGCGCCCATCTTCCTCTACTTTATATGTGGGACGCCTACCACAGCATGGCATGCCAAGCGGTGCCATGTCCGCACCCGGGATCCGAACCGGTGAACCCTGGGCTGCCGAGAAGTGGAATGTGCAAACTTAACCACTGTGCCACCTGGCTGGCCCTGATACCAAAACTCTTAATCTCAAGTGTGTGTGCCCAATCCACAGGAAGTCAAACACTGAGACATTGGTGCTTGGAGATGAAGAAAGTTTTATTTGCATTGGCCAAAGTGAGGAGGTGGGAGGATAGGTTCTCTCAAATCCACCTTAACAGGAGAAGAAAGTAGAAGATTTTATAGAGCGGCTTGGGAGGAGGAGTTTCAGAGAAACAGTGGAAGTCTGTTTCGCTCCCCATAAGCCCCTGGGCCATCTGACTTCTGGGCATCAATGGCAGCTGGGGGGGGTGGTGGTTATCTAGTGATCCTTGAAGGCATTCTCTTTCTTCTGCAAAACAAGCTCATAAGTCCTGGTGACCCTAGAGTCACCCCTCAGGTTAAACAAGAAAACAGCAAATGGACAAGATTAACTTCTTTTCATAACAAGGTGGAAAGGCCATCTTATGGGATATTTACAGCAACCTCCAGGTACCCAACTTCAATCCCTGCCTGAGTCCAGCTCCAACAGAGTCCAGGTTCCTGAGGGATGAACGGCGTTGGTGAAGGGAAGGGAATGAGACTGCACACCAAGTTGGTGAAAGCAAGTCTGAAGTCTTTATTGTCAAGCATGCGTTTATATATATTTTGAGGATTACATAAGTGTCTGGGGTACATCTATTTTCTCCCCTAAAGAAGCTTGGTTTTTCTCCATGATATCATTTTAATTCCTTAATTTATTTGAGTCATCAACAATTTCTAATGCAGGGGGCGAGACTCGGTTTATGCTGAATGGAACAAGCCTTGGGGTAAAAGTGAGCCAAGGTACGTCTAGATCAGGCACATACAGGTCCCCACATCCTCTTATATAACTCCCACACTGAGACATCTGACCTTTGAATCCTCTTTCTTCGGCAGGGCCCTGGGCATGTTGAAAGAGTGTTAGTCAGAAGAGGGTCTTTCTTGTCTGTTACAGTGAGATTCCCCTTTCCCAGCAGATTCCCCTGGGTAAGCACAAGCGTCATGAAGAGAGCCAATACAGCAACTGGTGACAGCAGGTTGAGCAAGGAGGACCCTCGACCATTCCTGCAGGGGTGGCTTTGCAACTCTCGTGCTTTGTGTGCCCTGAGTGTGTCACTGGGCTGCGGCAGCTGCAGGACGGCATCCAGCAAATCCCCGCTGTCTTTTCTCCCTTCCTCATTCTTGTAGGAAGCGGGGCATTGACCATTCTGCCTACTTCCTGCTGAAAGGGAGCAAAGATGAGGAAACTGGGGAATGAAATTTTTCAACCTGAGATTGAAAATACTCTTGGGCACTGAGTTGTATTTTGCATGATTAGAATTTTTGCATCTCATTCAACAGTTTTAGCACGACATCTAAAAGCACAGGTTATCATCAAATATCCAGCTGGAAGGCTAAGAATATAGACAACTCAAATTTTAATAGTCCTTGAAGAATAGATCTAATCTCTTGGGGAATCCAAGAGAACAGTCCTGAAAACCAGTCTAGACATTATAAACCAGAATTATCAAGGGGTCCTCATGGTCATGCACTGAATAAGGTTTGGGATGACATATCCAACCTCCAGAAAGATTACCTGCCTTTGCCAACATCTGAGAAATTCTAATAATCCCAATTTTCTTCCAGGCTTGGGGGTCAAAGTCAACAAGGAAGCATAATAGCCAGTTTACAGATGGAAAAGAAAAACCTCAAAGGCAATTCACACAACTAGGATCTAATATCTAATATCCACAAGTGTGTCTTTTAGTTTCTACTGAAACCTAATTTTTCTCTCTAAAATCACCCTCATTATGACCAAAGATAGCCAAATTAAGAATAATTGGTTGGTTTGTGCCAATTGTTTACATAAGTACAGCAAGAATAGCCATTGATCATACAGGCTGTTTTAAACCTGCTTTGCTGGAACTTTTTATAAGGAATCTCCAATTGAACTCATAAGTCCTCTTGAGGCCAGGCCAAGCTAAGGACTTGTCATCAAACTCTGCCTGCAATACCTATGTGTTTGAGTGAATTCTTCTCTTCTCTTGAGGTGCCCCAAAATATCGTGAGGTTCTTTGAGCTCCCAAGGAAGTGACCTTTTTTACTCCCATGGGAACCCTGTAAGCAAGGTGCCAGGCCAAGATTTCTAGGTGGCTTTATTTCATAACGTCAATCTTTTCCCTTGGTCATCTGAGCATATCTGAGTCTATGCATGTTTCTCTCAAATATGGCATTCCAGTCAAAGCCTTGGTAATATAACCAATGTTTCCATTTGTGTACCATTATAAGGAGAACACATTCTTACTGAATTTATGCAAATAACTATATTGCCATGAGAATAAGAATATTCACTCACTAAGAGTTTCTAAATTCTGGAAGGATCAGGTAGGGAGAAAAAGATAAATGTTTCAATTATGCTTACAACAGTATAACTTACCAAACTGCTATGAGTCATAGTTAGGTTAAGAGAAAAGAGAAAAAAGTTTTCTTTTTTTCTTTCTTTCTTTCTTTTTATTTTTTGAGAAGATTAGCCCTGAGCTAACTTCTGCTGCCAATCCTCCTCTTTTGCTGAGGAAGACTGGCCCTAACCTAGCATCCGTGCCCATCTTCCTCCACTTTATATGTGAGACGTCTGCCACAGCATGGCTTGACAAGTGGTGCCGTGTCCACACCCAGGATGTGAACCCGTGAACCGTGGGCCACTGAAGCAGAACATGCACACTTAACTGCTATGCCACCAACCAGCCCCCAAAAAAGGTTTTCTTAAATCTGAAAAACAAAACATTAAAAAATCAGCAATATTTCAAAGGAAAAAGTCACAAAAATTAAAACCATTCTCATCAGTTCATTTAGTTCCATGGAATCAACACTTTATCTTTTCTTAGAAGTTTCAAGAAGTCTTCAGTTTTTCCATTAGAGTTCTGTAATTTCTTTCTTTCTGAAGTTTCATCTGTAATTTCTTTTTTTTTTAAAGATTTCACTTTTCCTTTTTCTCCCCAAAGCCCCCTGGTACATAGTTGTATATTCTTAGTTGTGGGTCCTTCTAGTTGTGCGTAATTTCTTTCTTTGTTTTATGGTTTGGAAGTTCATCAGAAGGCAGTATTCTAGAGAAAATGTCAGAGTCCTTTCCATGAATCTCTCTGAAGATGAGGCATGCCCATTTCAATCAAACCAACAAACTTAAACAAGCTTTCACTTACCAAAGATCACTTACTTTAAGGCTGTTAAACAGAGCTCTTAATTTTGGCCACACCATCTGGAGGTAGAAAAATATCTCACATTGTACAGGTTCAGGCAACTCTATTGACTTCCTTTAGTACATTTAATTAACATTGTCTGAAGGGTAGACTTATATGCTGCTTTACAATATCAACACTGGGGGAATGTTTCCCCCAGGGAGACAGATGTCTATCCCCATAATTCAATTTATAACACAATCATGAAAAAGACATGTAATCACTTAATTCCATCAACTCTAATACCTCTAATCATAGCTTTCACGAGGACTTCATCATCATCAAGTCTTAAGTCTTATAATATTGGGTAGGGGAAGCATTCCCAGCCAGACATAACATCCATTTTAAAAAAAGACTCAGGCAAAATTGATATAATCTCCTTAATAAAATTAGTTGAAACCTTTCAACCTTTATAATCTTATCAATACTTATACTTTTACATTTTTTTCAATTTAATTGTAGCCTGAGTCTGGGTCTTAAAGCTAGTCATTATTTATTTGTATTTCCTTTTTAGTTTGGTCTTTTCATAGGTACCAATAAAACAATTACGATGAGAGCTCTCTGAAAATTTTTCTAGGGGTCGGCCTGGTGGCACAGCAGTTGAGTGCACACATTCCACTTTGGTGGTCCGGGGCTCCTTAGAGGAGGAATGGCAGCAGTTAGCTCAGAGCTAATCTTCCTCAAAAAAAAATAAAATAAATAAAAATAAAAATTTTTCCAATTTATAAGTTTTTCCAACTATGGATCCATCATCTGGCCATTTTCTCTAGAGTCTAAAGAATGTTGTGGCCATGTGGTTTTTATAAAAGAATATCATCTTTTCCCTTTTCCATGGGCTCGAAGCTAAAAGTTACCTAATTTTGGAGAATATAGGTGGGGGTCAAATTACCGTTCCCCAGAGTGAGTCACACATAAGATTGCATACATAAGATTGCACACATAAGAATGCACCCACACAAAATTCAACTTCTGAAAAATACAAAACTGAAAGTAGACCAAATGTGTTTCTCCGCTCCAAGCGAGTATTTCACCAAGGGTGACTAACACCAGTGGGAAGGAGAGAGCGGCAGGGGGAGTCCCTACAGCAGAGAGACCCGGGCAGCTTCTGGGAACCACTGACTGCTCAAATCCTCACTGAGGCCATGCAGCCATGGGCACGAGACTCCTGGCTGGCTCGCCAAAATTGATACCAAACCTCTTCATCTCAAGTTCCCATGCCCAATGCCCAATGAGCCAAACACTGAGACATCCAGTGCTTGGAGATGGAGAAAGGTTTATTCGAATTGGCCAAAAAAGATGGTGGGAGGATAGGTTCTCTCAAATCTGCCTTGAGAAAGAAGAAAGCAGGAGGTTCTATAGAGCTAAGGGGCGTGGGAGGAGGAGTTTTAGAGAAACAAAAGGGTAACCCATACTTCACTCCCAATTAGGCCCTGGGCAATCTGACTTCTGGGCCGGGCGTCAAGGGCAGCTGGGGGCTGGTTATCTGGTGATGGCAACTTCCTGGAAGCCATTCTCCTTCTTCTATAAAACAAGCTCATAAATCCTTGCGACCCTTGAGTCACCCCTCAGGTTAAATGAGAAAACAGCAAATGGGCAAGATTCACTTCTTTTCATCACAAGGTGGAAAGGCAATCTTATTGAATGTTTACAGCAACCCTCAGGTAGACGGCTTCATACGGATTCCCTCTCCATCTTTCTTATTTGTGCATTTCCTGGCAGTTTATTTAGTGAAGGAATAAGGTGGTTTGTCCTGTAGTTTTCCACAAAGACAGTGCCTTTGCCGGGGGCCTGTCCACCACGTGGTTGAACAAGATTCTCTGTTTCCAATGAATTGCCTCCCATTTCCAGGAAATCGATGGAGAGACGTCAGGGCTGGTACTCTGTCCTTCCACCAGGAGGCGCACAACATGCAAGTATCTCTCACGTGGCCATGTGGGTGAGACCCATTCATTCACTCAGGTCACAAAATAGTAATAAAGTAATTCTGTCCTTTTTCCTATCTTTATTAGAAAAAAGGGCAGAATTCTATCTTTATTATCTTTATTTTCTATCTTTATCTTTATTACTTGAACTACTTCTGTAAAGAAACATCTCTGTTTCTCAACTAAGTGTACATCCTGAGGTCCGATTCTTTTGCAAAAGTCAGGATAAAAGGTTGATTCTTTTTTCTTCTTCTTTTTTTTTTTAGCCAGTTTTCATAATGCACACCCGGTCCCTTCATCCTGTAAGCAAGAAAGAGGGCTTGTCTATTCTTCTCCTGTTCCTGGAGGAAAGAAACGTTGAAAAACAAAATCCAACTGAGAACATTTTAAAGATCTTACTGGCTTCATTCGACGATTCGTGAACCCCACAGTATCCAGTCTAGCAGATAGAAAGCTGTCCAAGGCAAGAGACTCTGGAGGCAGCAGGGAGCAGGACGGGGAAGTTAGGCAAAGGCAGGTTGTTACTACAAGGTCACTGCTCAGAGGATGGCAGCGGCCTATCAGGCAGACGGCCTGACTAGTGCTGAGCAGGAGAGTCCTGATTGACCAGTTTAAGATTCCATTTCTGGGAGAGCCGAAACTGTCATTAAGTGAAGCCTTGCTTTGGTGACGATGTGGGGCGTAGCATGAGCGACTCTATTTGGGGCCTGTTGTCTTGTTTTTAAGAGAAGAGAGTGGGCTGGCCCGGTGGCCAAGTGGTTAAGTTCGTGTGCTCCGCTGCAGGTGGCCCAGTGTTTCATTGGTTTGAATCCTGGGCGCGGACATGGCACCGCTCATCAAACCATGCTGAGGCAGCATCCCACATGCCACAACTAGAAGGACCCACAACGAAGAATATACAACTATGTACCAGGGGGCTTTGGGGAGAAAAAGGAAAAAAAAAACAATCTAAAAAAGAAAAAAAAAAGAGGGAAGAGAGCTGTCTCCACTCACGACCCAGAGAAAACTCAGGTCCATCCTCCTCGCTGTCCCATGTGCCTCTCACCTGGGCTCTCACATCCTCCGTGTCCTTCCTTGTCTAGGCTTCGAGCACCACCAAACACAATGCAGCAACGACAGCGGACACAGTGAGAGGAGCAGCAGCAGAAGCAGCATCATGGACAGCCCTCCGACCTTGAGGCCCTGGAGGTCACCATGAAATGGGCTGTGGTTACACCGGGTGGGCCCTTCTTGATACGAGGCTCCTACACCGACTCTGCCTCCAGACCCCTGGACCCCGAGGGCTCCCCCAGTTCCTCACCAATGACTACAGGGACCGTGATGTTCAGCTTGTGGTGTCCCACATGGCAGGCGAAATTCTGCTCCTCTCTGGGGGAGATCCGAGTGGCCACCCAGGTCTGGTAGGTCCCGTCCCCACTGGGCAGGATGGCCCTAGGCCCAAAGGTGCCCTGGTGCATGGGCTCCCCATCCAGAAGCCAGGTCAGAGTGGCATCTTGAGGATAGAAGCCAAAAGCCCGGCACCTCAGGATGATCCTGCCCACCAGGTTTTTACTGTGGGTCACAGTCACGGACAGGGGAACTGGGGAGAGACGAAGCAGAGGGCAGTGAGGCCGAGGATGTTCCCTCCTTGTGATGTGGGGAAACCAAGGGCAGGAACTGGCCAACCCTTAGAAATCATCTGTGCACATTCGCCCCCAGGCCCCCCTGCAGAGAGGCTGTGTCCCCAGTGGAGAGAGGACTGTGGGAGGCCCCCCACGCTGCTCCAACAGCCCCAGGACCCTACAAGGGTGTCAGGCCCTTGCCCACCTGGAGAACCTGAGAGGAGAGGAACTCCCTGCTCTCGGGGGCCAGCGGGTCCACCCGAGGATGCTCGGCACACAGTTCTGAAGAATTTATAGGCACTGATGGGACCAAGGGGCTGCTCTGGTCTACAGGGGGTGAGAAGCTGCCCTACGTGTGATGTACCTCCTTCTCCAACAAAATCGGCTCCCCATGCTCCAGGGGGTGACGCAGGGGCAGTCCCCAAGGACGGCCAACTGGCCCTGCAGCCTGATTCTTTTGTCCTGGGCCTTACATTCCTCTGGGGACCTCTGGTTGATTATCCCCAAACTCCCCCGACCCCCGACACACACACCAGTATCCACTCTTCCTTCTTATTTGCTGCCACAAGACTTAGACAAATAGGGACCTTCACACTGGACTTTTCTAAAAGCAGAAGAGGAACAAAAGTGGAATGACCCTGGTCATATGATTCTGGGTGGTTTGGGTTTGAATGCGTGACCCTCGCTCCAAGGCTGGAATATTCTGTTCTATCTTAGCTCCCAGCCGGGTTGGCCCCATCTTAGGGCCTCCACCAAGGAGTTCAAACCTAGATGTCTCCTCTCCTCAAAGTCAACATCCCAGAGAATGAAGATCTTGGAAAGAAGAAGTTTCCCCCTCTGGCCTGCCTGTGGTCTGAGGTCTAAGCCCCAGGCCCTCACCAGGCAACTCTCTGTTTCTCCAGCTGGTGGACCAGCAATGGGTCCAGACCACTCACCCACCCACATGGATGTGGCAATAGGCTGTGGCATTCTCCCACAATTCAGTCAGAACTCTGCACCTAACCCAAGGCCAGGGCAGGACAGCCACTCAGAGAACAGCAGGAAAGTTCTTTTCCTTGTAGGAGCCAGGGGCAGACTCAGTTCGTGGACCCTCCCGCCCAGGGTCACTACCTGTTTTCTCCAGGAGGCCCCTCCAGGAGGCCAGGTACCTCCAGAGTTGGGCAGGACAAGTCACATACAGGAAAATCTTAGCCAGGTCAGCCCTGGGGCCTCGGGTCTCCCACAGCTTCTTGATGTGCTGGGCTGAATGTGCATCCACCGTCCATGTGAGGGTCTCTGAGTCGAAGGTGAGGATGTCTTGCCCATTGTAGCCCAAGCGCCAGAAGCCTCTAGTGCTGGGTCTCTCTGGAGCTCACAGCCCAGTGTGGCCTGGAGGGAATGAAGGCCTGGCCCACCCCAGGCAGTGACCTGTCACCTCACTGGCCCTGGCCCTTTTCACCCAAAAGGAGTCCAGCCCAGAGGGGTATGTCATCTCCTCCACCCAAACATGAGGTACCTGGTGTGGTCTTGGGGTGGGGTGCCTCGCCTCTCTGCACAATTCCAGCCTTGGGGTACCCTCCCCTCCCCTAGCTGCAGGATGAACAGGTCAGGGACCAGCCTCAGACCCATGTGCCCCTGGTCCTGCCCCCACTCACCCTGGCCCTGGCCCTGCTGGCCCATGATCTCTGCCAGCGTCAGTCTGAGTTGCCGTTCCTTCTCTATCGGGTCCTCAGTCTCTCTCTCCCAGGTCTCAGCTCGCAGCTCTGTCCTGATCCCAAGACCCCGGGGTTCCGCCCTGCGGCTCTCGTCATCATAGCGCATGAAGAGCTCATCATCAAAGTATCCCAGCGCCAGGAACTGGGCCTTCCCAGGCCTGCCCGGGGCCAGGGCCACGAGGTCGTAGCGGAGAGTGTGGGTTCCTGAGGGAGAAGGACACGTGGGTGACTCGCCCCACCAAGCTCAAGCTTTCTAACAGCTGCCTCCGTCTTGAGATATTTAAATCAGGCTATTCTGTCCTGACCCATCCCAGAGGTGCGTGCGAGGAACCAAACAGAGTGTTGTGTGTTGGACAGGATGAGTGAAAGAGAAGGTCAGACAAAAAGGGTAGGGTGGAAAGAGATAAGAGAGGCATTCAGAGGTGAAAGAGGAAACAAAAGTATATTTGAGCAGAGAGCCAGAAGCAGAAATGACTGAGTGATTACGGCTGCTCAAGGCAGGAGGCTGGGAACCTCTGAGAAGCAGAATAGAAACCTCCCGTGATCCTTCAGGACTGAGAAGAGAAGAACGGCCGGGCTGTCAGCTGAAACCTCTGAAGGTCACACTGCCAATTACGGATCTTGCCAGAACTGTGACCTTGTGCTGACCCAGGTCCACCCTGATTGAATTGAGGCAATAAGGCCCTTGTATCGTCTGCTGAACTGAGGCAAAGAATAAACCTTTCCTGGGACGAAGAAAACATCAACGGAAGCCAAGACGGGTGTATCGCATGCAACGTCCAGGATACAATGAGAATCGGGAGCCCCCCAAAGAGGCAGGAACACAAGACTGGTAAACAGGAACGGGAGAAGATCCCAGAGAATTGGAGCCAGCCTGTAAATGACTCTGATGTTGGTATTCGCAGAAAAAAAAAAATTTAATGTTAATATGTTTAAGAAAATAGAAGAAAATGGGAAAAATATTTGAAAGAGGATTTCACCAGAGAATTGAAATGTATAAAAATAAAATGGGAATTCTAGAAACAAAATACACAATAGCTGAAGTTTTGAATTCCCTGGATGGGATTAGCAGTAGAATGGACAGAGGAAAACAGGATTAGAGCTGGAGGGCGGGAAATGGAATATACAAGGACAGAAGCTCAGAGAAATGTGAATGGAGAAAAAGGCAAGGCTAAGAGGGTCACAGGGGCGACCCTCTCGTCTATCTAATTGGAGTTTCAAGATGGAAGAGAGAAAATGCAACCCTGGCATTATTCAAAGGGATAACAGCCAAGAATGTTCCAGAACAGATGAAAGACATGAAGCCCAGATTCAGGAAGCTCGGCAGGCTTCAAGCAGGAAAACAGCAACAAAGCCCCCTGAGAACATCACGGCCAAAATATTGAACAGCCGACACAAAGAGAAACACTGAAAATAAAAACACCCAGAGAAAATAAGACACCCTGCTTTTAGGGAGCATTTTATAAGACTGTGAGAGCTGACTTCTCAACAGAAATGATGGAAAGCAGAACACAATGAAAAGACATCGTCCAAGCGCTGAAATAAAATCATCGCCAACTTGGAAATCTATAGCTAGTAAAAATACTACACTTTCAAAAGGAAGGCAAAGCAAAGACAGTTTAAGGGGCTGGTCCGGTGGCGCAGCAGTTAAGTTCGCACGTTCCCCTTAGGCGGCCCGGGGTTCACTGGCTCGGATCCCGGGTGTGGACATGGCACCGCTTGGCAAGCCATGCTGTGGCAGGCGTCCCACATATAAAGTAGAGGAAGACGGGCACGGATGTCAGCTCAGGGCCAGTCTTCCTCGGCAAAAAAAAAAGAGGAGGCTTGGCGGCAGATGTTAGCTCAGGGCTAATCTTCCTCAAAAAAAGACAGTCTAGGGCCGGCTCCGTAGCCGAGTGGTTAAGTTTGCGCACTCCACTGCGGTGGCCCAGGGTTTGGATCCTGGGCGTGGACATGGCACCGCTCATCAGGCCACGTTGAGGCAGTGTCCCACATCCCACAACTAGAAGGACCTGCAACTAAGATATACAACTGTGTACAGGGGGGGTTTGGGGAGATAAAGCAGGAAAAAAAAAAAAGATTGGCAACAGTTGTTAGCCCAGGTGCCAATCCTTAAAAAAAAAAAAGAAAAAAAAAAGACAGTCTAAGAAAAAAAACTGTGCATAGTCACTGCTATCAGGTCTTCACTAAAGGAAAAACCAATGGGCACTCCTCAGGCAGAGGAGGTATTATCCCAGATTGACAGAATCAAACGCAGGTGGGAACACCAAAGAAAAATTATGTGAGTAGATGCGATGGATACTGAAGTTATAGAATCATCATTCTCATGTTCTGTGGAATTTAAAACATATGTACAAGTAAAATTTATGACAGTAATAATGTGAGAGTTTAGCGGGGCGGGAAACGGAGTTTAAAGGTATAGTGATATATGGGAATTGTTAAAAGTAATCATTAGTACTTGACTAAAATTCGAATTCATATTCTAATCTCTAAAATGACTGCTGTGAGAAGAGTAAGAGATGTACCATTAACAAATTAATAGAGGAAAAAAATGGAGTATTGAAAAAGCTAGATATCCAAAAGAAGGACAAAAAAGGAGAAAAAAAGGAACAAATAGGTGGACTAAACAGATAGCACAGAGCAGATGGTAGATATAAATCCAAACATATCAGGGATTACGTTAATGTGAGTGCCCTAAAAGCCCCACTAAAAGTACAAGGTTATCAGATATGCTTAAAAGAAAAGCCCACAAAATTAAATCATGTTGCTTATAAGAGTCACGCTTTTAACACAAAGACCTCGGAAGCCTGAAACGGAGAGGATGGAACATTGATGCAAATGTAAGCTCTGACTAAGCAGGCTGACGTCGCTCAGAGCATCTGATGTTAGCAGACCCTACCCACCCTGCGGCCCCTCGGGCGCCCGCCCCATTGCGTGGACCCCAAATACTCCCCCTCCCCTACCGCGGCTCCAAAAAACGTGCTTCCCCGCGGTTCTCCTTCCCCCAAGACACTGCCCCTTCACGAGGATCCCCCCCCACCCTCCCATCCCTTTCCGTGGCCGCCCACAGACTCCTTGCTTCTTCCCACACTCGCTGCGCGTTTTATCGCAGCCCCCACGTTGCCTCCCCCAGACTCTCACCTGCCTCCCTGCCATCCCCAGAGACCCTCACCATCTCCCACCACGGCCCCCCAGGTACTCACCTGGCTCCCTGCGGACACCCCATCCACACGTCGTCCCCCAACGGAGTGCCTCGGACACTCACCGCCCCTCTCTCCACGTGTCTCTGGGGGTCCATCACCGTCCTTCCCGCCTGCGCCTTGGCTCGGACCCCAGACACTCACTTGCCTTCAGCAGATCCTCTGCCCCGGGAAACACCGCGCCCACACCATCACCCTGCGGATGCCCGGCAGACCCCTCTCCCCGCCTGCATCTCCCCCTCTCCGCTCCGCTGCGCGGCTCGAACACTCCTGCCCTGTTCGGCAGAGCTCCCTGCACGCTCCCCCTCTGCCATCGGTGGGCTCCCGCTCTCTCTCCTGCCAGCCCCACACAAAGCCTGGGCCCCCCTCTGAAGCCCAGACTCCCTGTCCCCCCAGCACCGCCCAGGGGCTCACCAGCGCGAGACCCCCGCGACTCCTCCAGTAGCAGCAACAGCAGAAGCAGGTGGTTCAGGGGTCTGAGGACTCCCGGGGCCCCCATCCCCGTCCCTGTCCAGAGGTTCGGTACACAATTTGAAACCCTGTTTTCCGGACGTCCCCTTTCACTTTTGGTTTTGTAAAGACTAACGAACGGCCCACGTCACCTCCCTCGGAACACTTTCCAAGGACCCCCACCTCATCTAGAAGGCCATAAGCTCGGTCCAGGATCCCAACTATGTACCTCAAAGGGAAACCGAGGACGAAGGACTTAAAAATTTACCCGGATTAGGATGAATCCGTGCCTGCGCCCACAAGGTTGTGATAGGAAACAAAGCAACCAAAGTTTCGGAGCTGCAGCAGCTGCGCTGCTGGTGAGAGAGGAACTTGCTGACAGCTCTCCCTTGGCTGAGCATCTGGCGCAGGAGCTTTGAGAAGCCAAAGTGACTAATCCTAAACTTTACGGGTCACAGACTAAAAATCCACCGCATGCAACACATTGCACGTGCCCCACCGCCGAATTTGCACACGCAACCCATGATGAAATATGAAAGACAGTCACCCCTGTGCAGAGGACTCAGAACTGTAGCCCCCAAGGCCACATGCTCCCCTCCCCGTCTTCTTCTCACAGTATTCTTTGGGAAAATGCTTAAAACGCCAGGTAAGCAAGCCAACCTGTCACCAGGAAAAAAGAATAACTTGTTAGCAGAAAATCTATGTCCTCTGCGCAAACCCTTCCTTCTGTCCCAGATAAAGAGGTCACAGGTTTTCTTAGATTCCTCAGGAATGTGACATTCAGCAGATCTGCCACAGAGGGGGCCTGAATTTTCTGCGGTCATCCATCATCTGACATTTCTGAGCCCCCTCCCAACTCCGTTTGCCTTATATATATCATTTCCAAATTGGTTCTCCTTTAAGATGGGTTTCTTTAGGACAATAGTTCAACATCTTCTGATTTGCTAGCTTATCACTTGTCTAGCCACTTGCCCAGTTGGGCAAGCAGTGCAGGATATGTGATGCTGGTGTTGATGTGGATTAAGTCTGCCCCAGGTAGAGAAGCCTAAGGTGACCTGGCCTACATGCTGAACTATATGACCCGGTGGATTTTTATGGTATGAATTAGGGCTGTCCCAGGGAGAGAAGCCCAGGGCATCCTCACCTACATGCCGATCTGTATGGCCAGATTCGTATCTGAAGTTATACGACCACACAATAACCAGACCCCAACTGCACTGAAATCATTTAACGACTTTTTACATCATCTTTTCTTTTTCCAGTAAAAATAAGTCACGTACCCGTGCCTTCTAAATTTAGCCCTAACCCTCAACTCAGGGCAGCAGCAGGAGCTCTGACTGCCCATGGGTCCTGTCCCCACGCAGCTGCCCTTCACTGCCCGTGGGTCCTGTCCCCATGCTATTCCATACTATTCTCTAAATAAAAGAGCCCTACTGCCAGACCTTGAGAGTCCAAGAAATCTTTCTTTCGACTCTTCGGCTCGCTGACCCCGCATCAGTGTCACATGGTGACTTATGCTCAGGCCCTGTCTTTCTGAGTCTTAGTGTCCAGTGGAGAACACAGGCCACTCCAGACCCTGATGACCTAGAGTGAGCAGGGCTGGATGGAGTACACAGGGGGTCAGGGATGTCTAGCTGGAGGAGAGAACATCTGAGCTGAGATTTTAAGAAAGAGAACCATGACTATTTCAGAGAGGTTGGGCACTGGGGGAACAGAGGGCAGGCAGGGGGAGGGGGCAGCAGGGGCGGTCACTTTGTGGGCCTCCTTGAGGCCTGTGGGTCTTATCCTCAGTGGACTGGGAGTCACAAATGGGTCATAAGCAGGAAACAGAAGTGGTTGGATTCGTGGACCATCCCCGTGTCTTTCTGCTGTGAGGGGGTGGACGGGAGGGTGGAGGCAGGAGGCAGGAGGTCAGACAGGAGGCTGCTGTAGCAGAAATAACCGTGCAATTACCAGAGCCCTGCATTGCTGGAGTCCAGCTCCAGCAGAGTCCAGGTTCCTGAGGGAGAGACGGAGTCAGCGCAGTGAAGGAGGGGACGTGAGACTTGAGTCGGTGCAATCAAGTCTGTCTTTACTGTGCACAAGTGTCGTTTCTATATTTTTCAGGATTAGTACAGAAACAGCTCTACAAATACTCTCAGAGAGATAAGGAAGTACAAAGCAAGTCTGTCTTGACTGGTTTTTTACAGCATTTTTATATCTTTTTTAGCAGGGGATAAATATAGCAGTACAGATGTTCTTGCAGAGTAAACCAAAAAGCAATCATTGATTAAGCATAATCTTACAGGGAACAGAGTTAACTTTTAGTGGGGCAGAGGTTAACTATCTTTTCCTGCACAAAAGCGACCTCAGCAATTAAGAAAAGACCTCTACAATGTTCTGCCAAACACATGCAGGGAAACAATACACTTTTCAACAACTAACACATGGAGGAACACTCCAATCAACCACAGAGGAAGAGGTACATCCACTCCCACCAGGGAAACTGGGGGAAGAGCAAAACATCAACCTGAAGGAGGCAGCTGCTTTGATCCAAATACTCTCTTCAGTACAAACCCCTCATGAGGGAAAAGAGTTCTCCCACTATCTATGTGCATCAGGGGGAGCTAGCCCCTTGTGATATTCTGAAGGCTTATGCAAGTGGTCACATATTTTTCTCAGTACCAACCCCGCGGGGGGAGCATGCTCTTTTCTCTAAAGCGGCCATCTGGAAAATTACAGCATGAGTAGGAAAATGGGGTATAAGACAAAGGGAAGAAAAACAAGTTTTTAAAGTTCAGCATAGCTTGGGGAAAGGCCGGCTCTTCATATTCTCACGGAGGGGCGCCACGCACCCCTCGGCTCTTCTTGATCGGCTGGACCCTGTCAAACAGCCGATCAAATGCTGCCTCGGCCCCCGGCACTGCATGTCTGAGTTCTCTCAATGGGGAGTGGGGGCAGCACACGCCCCTTCCAGCACCATATCTCTGCCTGCTTTTTGAGCCTCCTGTCTCTGTAGCTGGGAGTAAAGCAGTGGTTTCCAAACCTCTAGTAGGTTGTTAAAAAAAAAAAAAACAAACAAACTGAGTAGTGCTTAACTGTCTGGTTTTTAAAATCTGGAAAAAAAAAAAGGATTAGAAAATAGAATCGTGTGTGCACGACACAGAATCTTATCAATTATCGTTTAAAGAAACTTTTTCTGTTTTTTTCTTTAAAGATTTTACTTTTCCTTCTTCTCTCCAAACCCCCTGGTGCATAATTGTATATATTTTTAGTTGTGGGTCCTTCTAGTTGTGGTGTGTGGGACGCCGCCTCAGTGTGGCCTGACGAGTGGTGCCATGTCCGAGCCCAGGATCTGAACCTGTGAAAGCCTGGGCTGACGAAGCAGAGAGTGTGAGCTTAACCACTCAGCCACAGGGCCAGCCCCTTAAAAATTTTCCTTTAGATTGCATGCGAGCCACATAAAGTTGTAATATCGGTTCAAGCCCAGGGATGGAGATAGCTCTAGCCATGGCCTCACTGCCTTCTTTCCTAAGAGTCACTGACTTAAACTACCCATCCAGGATGGGGTCCTGCTGTCATTTCCTTGGTTCCAGGTGTTTCCTGGGGAGGTTGCAGGTGGGCTTGGTACCCAGCCTGGTTGTCTCTGCTGTGAATAGGGTGAGGTGGAGCCTGGAGCCAGGGTGAGAGAGGGGAACCCGTTACCTGGGGCAAGGTTGAAATTGGTGTCTGTGGGAAACGAGGAGCCCAGCTGGAGCCTGGCTGGTCTGTCAGGGTGGCTGAATCAGGCCCGGGGGCAGGAAAGCAGAGGGAGATCAGGACAGGGCAGGGGGGTCAGCGGCTGTGTAACGGAAAGTTCGGTCTCTGAACCCGGTGCCAATCCAAATAATGAGAAAGGAAAAACAGCTTTCCTTTCTTTTCCAGGCAGAGGGAGCAAGCAATGGCTAGTGCCTTAAGAATTGCTAGCTTCCTATTAAGAAGTGAGGGGAAGGGTTTTAAACGTTTGGGAGGAATGTGGGGAGGCGGAAACCTGTGGCCTTGCTGGCTGCTTGCAGGAGGAGATAAGGAATTTCACCGGTGAATGGCCTCGGCTGTTTGTCTCTGTGATGGACTCTGGCGCCAGGAAGCTGAGGAGTTGGCGTCTGGGAAGCTGGGGTTTATTGATGTCTCTGGACATCAGCTTCCCTGTGATAAACTTCAAGAACCCGTGATCAGCCACCACTTTAGTGGGAGCCCAGCTGAGGCCACCTGGGCTTTAAGAAGATGAAACTGAAATTCTATTTCCGTTGTAAAGCTCAGGGAGACAGAGGTTAAACAAACAGATATTTACAAATGAGTGTAACTACAGAAGCAGGGAACTGCAATGAAAGCTTTCGGTTTTAACCCATATATGCTGGGTTCAAGGTAGGGGACCTGATATCAGGGCTGGTATTAATGAAGAGCCTGTAACAGCCATGCTGGAGAGGGCAGTGGCCGGTCCTGAGATGAGTGGACACTGAGTGCCACTAACTCCACAGCACTGAGCCCTTGCAGTCAGACAGCCCTGGGTTGGAATCCTGCCTCTGCCCCTTCTCAACGTGTTAAAAGTGCCTTTTACAGAAATCCTGTTCAACTCAATAACCAAGAGGGAGATGCCCTTTAGAACATTTGCATCTAACAGCTTTCCAGCCCGCACCTTCCCTTCAGCCCTCAGGAAGTTCCAACTGGGAAAAACACGCCCTGCCCCAACTCCTGGCCAAAATAAAAGCCCGAGATAAGTGATGTGGATTAAGGCTGCCCCAGCTAGAGAAGCCCAAGGTGACCTGGCCTGCATGCCAAACTATACGACCCAGTGGACTTTTTTTATGGTATGAATTAGAACCGCCCCAGGGAGAGAAGCCCAGGGCATCCTCACCTACATGCCGATCTATATGGCCAGATTCGTATCTAAAGTTATATGACCGCACGATAACCAGACCCCATCTGCACTGAAATCATTTAATGACTATTTACATCATCTTTTCTTTTCTCCAGTAAAAATAAGTCACGTACCCATGCCTTATAAAATTAGCCCTAACCCTCAACTCGGGGCAGCAGCAG